CAACACTTACAAATATCTAAGGGTGGGTGTCACGAGGACGGAGCCAGACTCTTCCCAGTGGTGCCCAGCGCCAGGACAAGGGGCAATGGGCACAAACTGAAGCAGAAGAGGTTCCAGCTGAACATGAGGAAGAACTCTTGACTTTGAGGGTGACCGAGCCCTGGCCCAGGCTGCCCAGGGGGGCTGTGGAGTCTCCTCTGGAGATATTCAACCCCCGCCTGGACGATGTCCTGTGCAGCCTGCTCTGGGTGATCCTGCTTGAGCAGGGGGGTGGGACTGAGTAATCCCCGGAGGGCCCTGCTAACCCCTGCCAGTCTGGGGTTCTGGGATTCTGTGATCCCAGTGGAGACTTTGGTTAACTGTTCATTGCAACATTGCTTGGTAACCACTTTTTGGGATTAATTCTAAATAAAAGTGTAACTGAGTGTTAAAGTAAAATTCTGTTAAATGGGCCTATCCTGTCTGGAATTGGACCATCTGATGAATGTGACAAAGTTTACAAGTCTTTGTAATCCACAATTCCCAGGAGGCTAGATCCTGATTTTCCAGGACACTGAGTTCTGTGAAATTCTGCTGGTGCAATCACATGCTGAACAGGTTAAAATCCAAAAAAACATTAGAAGCATGGGCAGTTAACGTGTACTTTATTGAAGCACTCAAGTTTTTGATTACAATAGGCAGGTTTGAAAAATTAAATCAATGCAGTGTTGTGGTTTTTTTTTTTTTTTAAGAACTCTTTAGATGTTGCTGAACAGAACTGAGCCATACCGACATACGTTACATTCCCAGCCTTTATCGGCTCTCCTCTCTGGGCTTGGCCAGATGGCTCACAATTACATGGCTCAAAATCCACTCGCTGCACTCAAACTGGGATGACTTCAGGGCTTTTCAGTCTGTTTCAATTCCCTCAGATATTTAAAATTACTTGGAGCGTTTTCTGGTCCTTCTGGGTGTTGTAGATGTAGGCGTCCTTTTATTAGGCTGCTTTGGAGGAGGAACAAACCCAAACGCTTTTAACTTCTTTGTGTCTCCCTCCCCTGGTGTTGCGTTCTGGGTATGAGTTACTCTCTAGTTGTTTTCTCATATTGCACTAGGTTACTTTTAAACCACAAGTCAATGATGTCTGCGTCTTTAAAGCTTTTCCTATGGAAGGGCAGGTCCCAGGATAGTGCATCTAAGCTCCCTAAAAATGAGCTTGTTTTCAGCTGTGTTCTGTGGACCTCTTAGAAGTGGAAAACATAAAGTAGCTCATCCAGCTAATCTAGAAAGCCTACCAATCCCAGTAAAATAACTTATTCAACACTTTCCCACTGGTAAGACTTCGGAGGTCTATGCTTAAGACTCTAAATCTGTTTAGGCTATCTTATTTTAGTATTTAAAGATAAAGTTATATATCCATTTAAAAAAAAAAAAGGGTAAGGGGATTCCTTTACCTAAAGATGTGCTTGAATGCATTTTTGTCCTTTGAAGGTGTAATCCTGAAGTGCCTAATGGGCTGGGGGAGCAATTAAACAGCAGTGTGAGAGAAGGGGTGGTCGATTTGGTACATAGAGAATTTCCAGTGGGCTGGTTCAGTGGTTCAGGTTCTGCTTTATGCTCCAGAGAGAGGCCTCAGGTTATTTGTGTTGTGTTCTGTTCCCACTGCTGGAAAGCTCCAAGGATCGGGTCCCCGGGTAGGAGAAGGTGGTGGCTGGTTTGAGTTCAGAGCCTTTGCCTCGTGCTCACACCCCGTGTGGGGTGGCACACCTCCGAATCAGTGACGTGGACCACACCAAACTGGTGGATTTAAGTGGATTTGAGGTGCGTGGTAAGAGTAAGCAGTGCTTTTCTGGGAAATACTCTGATTTTGGATGGCTGGTGTTCTCTGCCTCTGTACAAGAGTGATTATGGAGATAAAGTTGATCGTCTACTGGGAGGTCAGAACTGTTTGCAGGAGTATTGCAGCCTGCGTGCGAGGCTTGTGTGTACAGCTTGCACTTTGTCTTAGCTGGGGTCTTTGAGCTGAGGCCCTGGCAGGGCACAGCAGCTTCTTCCCCAGAGCAGGGCTTGGCTGAGGACAGGAGCGGAGGGCAGGTTTGCAGGACACCTGTGCGGTCTGATGTGCTTTTTGATACCGTGCTTTCATTTTGTTGCTTGCTTGATGCTGTCTGGAGTAATGCATTTTAAAGAGTAACACTAAACACATCTATTTTTTTTTTTTTTTTTCCAAAGGCATATATAAGCTTTTCTTGCATGAGAAGAATTTGAAGATTATATGTAACAGAATTTTAAGGTTTGTAGTTAACGATGGATTGGTGTGCTGCAATGAGCATAGGAAGTGCTTCAGAGTTTGGATTTTACCTCTACTGTTCTTTCCAGGTTTTGGAAAGGCTGTCTTGGAAGCAGATGTGTAACCTGCAAATTATGGGTAAACAACAAAATACAACTAATTGGGGCAAGGGGTAGATGGGGAGGTAGAGCAGGGAGGGGAGGAATACAGAATGGAGGAGGAGGTGTCTGCCAGGGGGAGGGCAGGGTGGAATGTGAGGTTTCTCGAAAAGGGTGGCTGCACAGGGCTGTCAAGCTGGAAGTGGATCAAGGTGGATGTGCTCATCCCCTTGTGATAGCACTTGGGGCGAGCGGGGACAGCCGGAGCAGAGATTTCCCGAGTGTGAATTCCAGTTGAAATTGGCTGAGAAACCCGGTGTGGAGCGTTGTTCTGTGCTTCATTTATTACCTCTGAAAGGAATTTGTGAAGGCTGCTACCTGTGCTGTTGCAGCGATGCAGTGCGTGTGTCTGAGTAAACCCCCAGACAAAAGGCAGATGATGGTGCCTTACTGCATGGTAAGGCTGGCAGGCTGGCCAGGCATGCTGGTAATTTAGGCTGGTTCTAGTTCGAGTGTGCTTGAACCTGTTTTGACGTGTTTTCAGTTTAAAATCTACTTAACAAATGACTCATCCCTTTTCACCTTTGTTTTGAGCGTGAAACCTTTCTTAATTTGGGACTGAGCTGCTCTGTTCCATTGCCTGCTTGCTTTTTTTCATTCTAAAATGTGACTTTTTCTCTGTGATTGCTGCCACCAGCGTGGCAAAGCAGAACTAGGTGCACACCTTAGTGGTTGAGGCAATATTGACTAATATTGCTTAGATACAAACAGTTGGGCTGAACTGAACACAGAAAATGCCTTTTGAAATGGAAACGATCGCTTTGTCCTCCTGAGTAAATGTGTATTTGCTTCAGGGCCAAATTTCAGAGCTTGTTGTAGTATTAATGAAGGGCCTGTTGCTGCGGCTTCGCTGTGCAGACTGCTGATCGCCCTGTGTGAAAACCAACAGTTTCTGTTATTTTGGCACCAAGTAGAGGACTGGTGATAACACCTGATGCCTACGCAAATCCTTTGTCTCTGTATATGTTGCAAGATGATGTATAGATAGCAGTGTTGTGAGCGCATGGTGTACCAGATGCTGGCTGATGTCCTGCTCTGAGAAAGTCTTTGCCGTTTCCTAAAATTGATTGCTTGTGGTTCTCTCCGTGGCTTGTGGGGACAGTGGCGATTAGTACTGTTTTTAGGAACTTTTGAGGATGTTTATTATGAAGGTAGCTGGCTCTGTCTAAATCTTTGAGCATCCCTGCAGCATCTGAAGAAAAGCTAGTGCTATAAGCTTTGTTTTGAGTCGCTAGCAATTAATTACCTTTCCTTACAAGTGTGGTGATGTGCGAAATCACCTTGCTAGCTGTGACCAGAGTGCTCAAACGTGGAATTGCATTGTATTTCTTCCAGATCGCTCCGAGAAGTGAAATCCCCAGGGAGTGCCAAAATGCATAGTTCAGTAAGGATCAATTCAATTTTTTTTATGCTGTTACCCAGAACTGAGAGCCATGGCAACATCCTTGCTAGGCTAAAGCATTGACACCATTCTGAGGGTAAATACGCTGCAATGCACGCCACCTCTTGTCCTCTCCCCATGCACCCTGGCAGGAGGTAACTCAGTTTGCCAGTCTTTGCCACTGTAAATAAAAGTACTTCCAACAATATGGAAAGGTTGCAGGTCAGTTGGAGCTTTGCCACTAGGCTTGCTGGGATCAGGATTTCACACCTGTATGGGAACGAATGGCCAGACGCCTGGTGGTACTTTAATTAAAGTAATGTATTAACGAAGGGCAGCTGTGTCTAGCACTGGAAGTAGCTAAACAATGTTTGAAGAAGGTATTGATGGCAGATACTGATTTAGTTTATGTGCTAAAGTCTGTGCTGGGTCAGTGCTGGAGTAGCTGGGTGCATCATGATTCTGTAATGTCTGGAGAGTAGTATGGCTCCTTGGGAACAGGGTGCCCTGCTGAGCGTCTCAGTGCTGTTAGCCACTTCAAAGTGGGGATAAAGGTAGCAACTTTAACCAAAAGATTGTAGAACTGTACTTAGGGCTTTGGGGGTTTTTTTGAAATCCTAAAAGGCAGGGGGAGGAGGAATTAATATTTACTTCTGTCTGTACCTGCTTATTTTTATCGCATAAACTAGTTTCAAAGCTCATACTGCTGTGTTTCCTGCCGAACTTTATTTCCTGAAGTGTCCTCCAGAAGGAAGATCTCCTGGGAGGCATATGTGTTACTTAGCAGCTATCAAGACCCAAGCTTACACTTTCAGTTTTCACTGCATTTGAGGCTGGATGCTCCTATGCATTACAGTCTGGAAAGGCCTTAAGACCTTTTTTCTTCAATTCTAGGTAACTAGGAAAAAAAAAAATCACACTGAATGTACCTAGTCCTTCTTCCCAGTGTAGGAAAGTGCCCATGTTTTCGGTGGTGTTTGGCATTGTCTGCAGTGGGAGGGGTCTAGCTGTAGGCAGGAGGTATTTGCCTTTATGAAAATAAGCAGCTTCCTGTCTTGTGCATGTAATGAAGAGAGTGGATCTACCAACTCATCTAGGAATGTCTCATTTTTGGATCCTGTACGTGCTGTTAGTGGTTCGGGCTCCAGTTGAAGCTCATCAATGACATGTACTGCTATCTAGTATGAGAAACTTCTAAATGTGTATTTTTTTTTTTTCTTCTTCTAGGTTCTCATTGGAGTTGATTTCTAGTAGACTTCAGCTATGCAGACGATCAAGTGTGTAGTCGTGGGTGATGGTGCTGTTGGTAAAACCTGTCTCTTAATTTCTTACACAACAAATAAATTCCCATCGGAATACGTACCAACGGTAAGTGAGAGAATGGTTCCAGTTGTTGTTTGGGTATGGTGGGGCAGGGCAGCATGAGTTTCCTTCCTGGCTACCCTTTGTGGCATGCACGCCTTAAAACTTGTTCTTAACAGACTGCTTTCCCGTTGGAGACTAACCGATAATGTCGTGGAAGAGTCAGTGTGTTTGGTACACTCTTGCTGCCTACCTTTCGCATTACTTGGTCGTGCTGGAAGGTCTTTCCTGTATCTGGTCAGTTCTGTGTGTTGATGGCCACCAGCTGGATTCGGTGAACAAGATTATTTGCAGTTGTTGGGGCTGCTAAGGATCACGCAGCAGGAACCTCTGCTCTCCAGCTTGCACTCTCTGTTCTTGCTACATCTTCATTTTTAGGGAAAGCAGCATTTTATGTTGCTAGAACAATCAGTGAGAACAGTCAACATTTTCTGATGCTCATTTGCATCTCTGGAAGATCCAGAAGTCGTGCAATGAACTGTGGAGTGTGGCTAGTTATTTTTCTCACATGCTTAGCTGAACTCATGTTTGGATCTATGGACTGCCCAGTCTCCTTCATTTGTATTTTCAAACACTTGCCGACTGTGTGTAGTCCTTGACTATTTCTAAGTAACCTTTTTGAGTCTTACAGGCTCAGATACTGAATCCCTTGGCTTAGCTAAAGATCAATTTGGGAGCAGCACGCTGACTGCCTGCAAACCACGTGTGCATTATCTTTCTCATAGAAAAATGCTGTTCTTGTTAATACTGCATATGCAAGGTCAGCAGGCTGACACTGAGGTGGTTCAATTTTTTAGTGCGGTTGCTGCAAGAGACTTTAACATCTGGATGCTCTTTTATTAGTTTTCCCTGTTACGGACCTGAAAGTGCCATCTTCTACACATACACAAATTGAAGAGTTTATCCAGATACCTTAAACAAATTTAGGTCTGGAAATGCATTGCAAAGCAGTTGAATGCAGTGAACTTCATTGCTTCTTTTTGAGGTATTGGCATTGCACACTGTCTTTTAAAGATCTTCAACATTTGAGGTTTGTTAGGAATGGGACAGACTTCCAAAGAATGAAAATGTTTGTGTTTAGCTGTAGATCTGGAACTAAAGATGAAAGGACTCCTGAACCAGAGAGTATTGAGGTTGTGCTGTAGGCTTGGAGACCCAAGTTCAGACTCTCTCATGGAGAGCCTCTCATTGTGGGCTGGTAGAGCAGAAGTTGTGTTTGAAACTGTGTTTTTGCTGTTCTCAGGTTTTTGAGTGGTGCCAGGTGTCCTGGTGTAATGCTTCCAGGGCAACCACATCCCATGCTGAACCTGTGGAAGTCTGCTTGCCTGGCTGAAGTTGTTCTTTATGGTCAAGCCAAAATGAAAGTGGTCCATGAGTTCAGGCAGTGAGCGTTTTTATATGTAACATTAGTAAAGTGACCCTTAATTAAGCTTAAAAATGTTACAGTCTTAAAAATGTGTATTTTGAAACCCTGTGGGTTTGTCTGCTGTCCTGCAGATGGTAGTACTGTCTACAGATCCCTGCTAACAAGCAATGTGGAAAAACTACTCAGAGTTACTTGCCAGTGAAGTGTGTTCAAGGTGTGCTAAGGCCCATTTGTAGTGCCTTTTAAAACTGTCCCATATTTCCAGAATAGTATTTATCTTTCAACTTCATGGCTTGTGGAACTTGCTCTGCTGGGGATATCACAGGCCTATTCCTAATTCTGTGTATGGCCTAGAGGCGTATTTCAAACTCTGGAAATGGGTAAGTAACCTCTGATATTCTGGCTAATACTTCGAGTAATAAACAAGCAAAGAAATGTAGCAGATAGCGTTGTTCCCAGAATGGAAGCAAACTGTCTGAGAGTTGACAAGTCTTAATATCCCCAGAACATTTGCGGCTGAATAAGGACCCTGGGGTAAAGTGGGCAAGACTGAAACTGCTTAACAAAAATGTTGAAACAGGAGAACCTGGAGATAAACTTCTGATTTTGAGAACTCGGTAAATACTGGTGGTAGCTCAAGGCCAGTGTACTGGCAAACACCGGGAATCCAGCTGCAGCAGCTGCTGCGAAGTCCTCTTGAGAGGAAGCTGCCGCCCTTCTTCCTTGAGCGTGTCCAGTGGTACAGGGCCCGGAGCAGTTAGTAGAAGGTAGGGGATGCTTGAGCAAATCAGTAACAGTCTGGCTTCAAACTGGGCCGCTCTGCGTGTGTAGGCACTGGAGTGGCTGTTGTAAAACGCCTGTGCCGTTGCCCTGTGTAACTGCACTTGTGCAGCAGTGTGGCCAAAACTTTGATGGAGAATGCACCAGTTCCAACTAATGGATTAGTTTCTTTCACCTGGCTCTGTGTTTTGCAGCTCTTTCTCTTTTTTTTGAGGGTATTTCTTAGTGGGGCATGGGTTTCATACTGGTATTGTACATGGTTTGTCACCTGCATGTTTTTGATGTCATTGCCATTCTCAAAAAAGGCAGCAAGGGGGACGTCTGTGGAAAGGTAGTGGCAGATCAGGTGTGAGTCCTGTAACATGAAAGCTCATGCGACCTGCTGTCATGGGGTGTCTGGCACTGGCAGGAATTGAAACTAATTGGGCTAACTGTTGTTCTTGTTTTTTAGCCTCTTTGGCACAATTGAGGATGAAATTGTCTGTGGATTATGCTATGGGACTGTAGTTTCTGTGTTTTCCTGAAGACTAGCCTTGCAACCCTGGCCTCCTTTGGGCTGAACCCCAGACCTCTTCAACAGTGGTTGTACAAAAAAAATCCCATTTTGCAGATAGGGAGCTTAAACAAACAACAGACAAACAAAACCATGAGGGAAAATGCACGCTGATCCTCCTAAAGGGCAGCTACAAGATGTATTACCAACTTGCTGTTCACTGGGCAAAAAGGAGGAGATGTCTTTGGGGGATTAAGCTGCTGACCATCTTCTGACATGTGAAAGAGCAAATGCTCTGACCTTCAATGAGGAACAGTCCATTTTCTTGTTTGTACCTAGTAGTAGACAAGGTTTCATCCTGAACTGTCCCTTGGAGTCAGACGCCTTGTGAAATGCCTTCCACCCTTCTCCAGCCTGAAGAACTTGTAGCTGGATGCTTTCTGGGGTGTTCAGAAGGCAAACTCGGTGCAATGTGTAAAGGATTAGGCTGCAGGTAATGGAGATGAGTGGTGAAATCTCTTGCAGTACTTCAAAATCTTGAAAGCTAATCCAAAATAGTATGAAAGGTGGACTTCTGCTTCTGTCTGATGTTCCTGGGGATATACAGCATGCTGTGGCCATAGTTGCTTTCTCAGATGCTGTGAATTGTGACAAGTGGAAAAAATGAATGTGGTGTCAGGTATTGCTTTAACCAGGGCAGCTGGGTGGAAAGGAGACAGATCTGAACTCTTGGAAGTTCATCTTTGAAGAGCTGTCTTGCTGGTCTTGCTTCCATTTTTAGTGGGATTTTTTCAAGGACCTAAGGTCTTACTAAAGCCCTGTTAATAGATGCGTGTGACTGCTTATTTCCCCACATCCCTCCCTCCTCACTTCCATGAAAAGCTTTTGAGATGACTGCTGGCCTCTTTAACATTGGGGTTTACTTCAGCTGCAGGAGCTGGCCAGACTTCAGTTTTTTTTGTTGAAGCAGAGCTTCCCTATTCTTATTCGCAGATCTCAGCTGTCTGTGAGTAACCTTGCAGCACAGTATGCAGGGACAGGTTGGATTTTTGTTTGGTTTTTTTGTTTCGTTTGTTTTTGGTTTTTTTTTTACAGTGGGAAGGATTTTTTTTTTTTTTTGCCAGAGGTACTTTCTGAAATACTGTCTGTTGTGGTTCTGAAGATAAAATCGTTACTGAAATTAAGGGTACTGACCTCAGGCAGTATACTCCTTAATGCTGAGTATGTGGGTGTTGAAGGAGAAGGCTTTGGATAGGTCCTCATGCTCAGTTGTTGTAAACAAGTTACTGGGGGAAGCGTTTTTGGTAGTGTTAGCCACCCCATGTAGCAGGTCTGCCCTTGAGGACAGGGCTGTTGTGCCAGATGCTGTACAGAGACAACATAACTCTGTCTTCTAGAGCTTTGTTTTGGAGATTGTCCATTTAGATTGAGAGTGAGTTTGACACAGACTGATTTTGACCAGCGATACTGCTTCCTCCAAAGATGGAGGATAAATTCCTACTGAAAGATGGATTCTGTATTGAATTCCCTAGATGTTCAGAAAGATGAACTTCAGAGGAGTCGGGTCCTGTGGGAAGAAGCCCCATCGCTCTGTGCCCTAAAGGGCAGGGCTGAAGTTCATCAGTTCTGTCTTTGTGGGGATGTGTTTACTGTGTCAGACCAAGTGCGAAGCTTGAAATTTCTGTGGCAGTGTGGGAAACCTCTGCAATTACAGGCAAGAGCTGTTGCAGGTGTTTGGTTCAGTGGCTTTTACCCTGTTATATGCAGTGGTGTACCTAGTGTGCCTGTGCTTTTAATACCTCATGGAAACAGCATCCCTATTCCAAATGGAACTGTCCTGCTAACAGCCTTAATGGGAACAGCACTGTAAGCCTAATGGCTTCTGTCATCCTGTGCAGAGGCCTCTTGTACAAATCAGAGGTGGTCTGGCAAGGTGAGTAGGACAATGGTTTGAAAGATGGCTTATTCACATCCTCTTAAACGTGTTTTCTCTTTTCTTACCAGGTTTTTGATAACTATGCTGTCACAGTGATGATTGGAGGAGAGCCTTACACCTTAGGCCTCTTTGATACTGCAGGTGAGAAATCAAGTGCTTGTCTTATTGTAACTGCCCAAGATTTAGTTGAGGTGATGTTGAACATGAAGACATACAGTTGGTTCTTTTTTTTATGAAACAGAAAAATCTCTCTTGATTCTTCTTTCCTGACCTTTGGGGAGTTGCTAAATTGAGTTCATTTGTTTTTAAGTAAACAAAACCCCCACAAAATATCAAACCACAAAAACGTTCCACTTTTAGAGCTGTTTTACTTTGTGACACCAGATGGCAAGTTTCAGACTTTCACCTTTAATCTAGGTGATACCAGAAGGATGAGAGGTTTCTATCATTTTAAACAAAATTGAAGGAGAAAATTGTGTTGAATAAACTATGTGGATTGTATGTGGGTTTTGTCTTATTTTTTGACCCAATGTCAAGACAGAGTGACTAATGTCTCTGCATTCTTAACATGGATGAAGCCAGGATGTTTTGTGGAGTTTCAGAAACCCTCTCACTGTGTGCTTTTTTCCCAAATTAAAAATAAATCTGCAGGCTTCTTTGTTTAGAGTTATTAGACTATATATCAGTTTCTGTCTGTAGAAATTTGCAATGACTAAACAGTTACACACATTGCTTTGTACACAGGAAAATTTAGCAAGAAAGGGTAGAAATCAATTCAACTGCTAGTTTCCCAGTCCCCAACCCATAATACCACCGAAGTGGTATGGCAGTATCTGGTGTTGGAAACTCCCTCATGAGAGTCTTTCCAGAGAGCTTAGTTGATAAGCTGTTACCTAAAATTGTCTTGAGTAGAACTTAATCTGTTTCCAGTGGTATTCTTACAGATGCATCATTAGTGTCCTATTTGATTAATGAAATGATCTTATGCCTCCAGTTAAACCCTGTAACTTCAATTAGCTCTTTACATTCCCCTCTGAAATGTGATTTGTATGTTGGTTATTGCAAATTCCCTAGTTCATGGGTAAGGAGTTGAGTAGAGAAGAGAGGCTCCTTCTGGACACACATTGTGTAGGCTGCTGAAGGGACCAGTGCTTTGAATGCTATGGCATTCTGGTACCTGCATGGCTAAAAGCTGTGTCAGGAACTT